CCCCCAAATTACCCCAAACTTGGCCGCAATTCTCCACCATGAGTTCCTTTCAGTAACAAACCTCCAAACCACTTGCGTAGGTGAACAATTTTAATTTTTCTGATACGCAGACCCCTTCTTCAATAGGAAGACAGACTTGCTCCCACTTAATGAGATGGACTTTATTTTCTTCTTCACCTTTTCCAAAGGAAGTTTCTTCGTAGGCACTCTAGCTTTTTGGCAATTTTAGTTGGAATCGGGAAGAGGGAAAGGAAATAAGTGGGAAGGTTAGACAGAGTGCTCTTTACAAGTGTTACCCTACCTCCCACTGAGAGATATTTAACCTTCCAAGAAGAGAGTTTCCTCTCCAACCTTTCAATCACAGGGTCCCACAAAGCAGCAGATGTACACTTTGTTCCCAGAGGGAGGCCCAAATACTTTACAGGGAGGGTATCCACTCTGCAAGCCAAGACTCAGCACTAGGCCTGTCATTGGATCGAATTCATCTAAATCTGAGTTTGATTCGACATGCTGTTGGCTGCATCTGACTCCGATCCAAAATCCAATCGGATTATGTGCAGGGAATCTGAGTTCGAATCCGATTGGATTTTGGATTTTAATTCGACTCCAACTGAAGCTACCTATTTCAGCAGTTGACAATTGCTGAATTTAATATCATTAAAACAAAATCTATAATCAGTAATTTTTACTCAAAAGTTTTGAAACAATTCTGTAATCTGTAAAATTTAAATTTTTATTTAAAAAATTTTTGAAATAATCTATAATTTATTCAGAACAAATGAAAACCTATGGTCAAGAAGAAAACCTAGGCGAGAAAAGAATGATGATGGCGAGAAAAGAACGGCGACGACGACTTGGTTGTTGCAAAGAGTGAGAGTTGGGAGAGGAGAGCATGACTACAACTTGGCAAATGGCAAGGCGAGTTAGGTGACGACAAGAGAGGAGAAGTGAGAACAAAATGTCGATTGTTGAAGTGTCAAGTGAGGGTTTAGGATTTTAGGGCTGGCCGACTGGGGGTTTGAGGAACATATTTCCTCATTTACCCCTAAGAAATTTTATCTATTCCATTAATGTATAAAAGTATATAATATAAAATATATTTATATTTATAAATATATCGGACTTGGATTTTTATCTGATCGGATGGGGGTGAATCCGAGTTCGATCCGATTTTTAATCGGATTCTACTTCTGCCATCCGAATCTGATCCAATATGATATTACATTCAGCAATTGTGACCATTCAACTGCTGAAATGATCACACTCTTGCCCAAGTTCACCTTTAGGGTTGAGATCACTTCAAACCAACAAAGAACTCCAAGTAACACTTCTAACGGATCAGGATCAGCATCAATTAAATAGAGAGTGTCATCTGCAAACTGCAGAATGTTAACTTTTTCCTCTCCCTGAGCAATAGCAAAACCTTCCCAGAGCCTGGCATCAGTTGCCCTTCTAGCAAACTGGGTAAGGATTTCCATAAGGCAGATGAACTGAAGGGGAGAGAGAGGGTTACCCTGCCTTAACCCTCTAGTGCTATAAAAAAAACCTGCAGTTTTCCCATTTACCAAAAATAAAAAGCTTGGGGGAAGATATGCACACTTTAATCAAATTTCTCCACTTTTGACCAAAATTCATTTTTTCCAGCACAAAGTCCAGACACTTCCAATTTACATGGTCATAGGCTTTTAAAATATCCAGCTTACAGATCAAGCTAGGAGAATCCTCTCTTCTTGAGTCAATAAGTTAATTGGCAATGAGAACCGAATCAAGCATTTGCCTCCTCGGAACAAAGGCACTTTGATTACTTGAGATTAGGGATGGCAATTTCTACCCTACCTGGTAGGTACCTGCCCCTACCCTCCCCGACAGGGTGGTTTTTTTGCTTAAACGGCGGGTTTTGGGGTAGGTATAGGTTTTGGGATTCTACAACCTGTACGGGTACGGGTAAGGTACGGTATTAGGCTAAACCTGACCCTCCCCGACCTGTATATTGTTGGAAAGCATATAAACTTTATGTACTAGGTGTTGATTTTAATAATAT